TAATACGAATATTACATAGGTGATTATCCAAATTTTCACTGTCGATGGGATTTGAACACCCAACCTACCACTTGGAGAGTTGACAACCTGACCACTTCACTAGGTCGCCATACTCCTTAAAGTTTTTTTTTTTATAATCATAATTTTAAAAACAATAAGATAAATTCTAGGCTCTCTAGTTATTTTTCAGAAGTAAAATAATAACAGAAACTTTAATTTTTCAAATTTTTAATGCATAATAAAACTATTTATACAATAGTTGGCATCAATGTATAATACTGCATATAGTACTCTGGGTACTATTCAAGAAAGCTAACCTAGATTGAATAATACTTCAATATTGAAAGATGGGAGGATAATACAAATAATCATTACTAATCAATCTACCTTGCTATTAGATATATAAAATCTGATGAAAGATTGTACTATTAATTATGAAAATTGTCCACAAATTACTTGTCAAAAAAAGGAAGAATATTATTTCAAAGAAATACTATATGCAGTGCTATACAGTACAGTTGTTCCTTCATATAGTCACTTCTCATATAATCACATCATATGTAATTACATTTATATTTAAACTAAGCTACAATTTAATTTATAAGAAATAGTTCTTCATATAAGCACAACTCTTTTATAAGCACATTTTTTAAAAAAATTACTATGTGCTCAACTGTGTGATTATATAGAAGGATGACTGTACTATATACCGATACAGATATATCACTGCAGTAAATATACAGACAAAAAGGAAAAAAAATCTTCATGTCAAATTTTTATTTAAATAAAACCCAGTATAGAAGAGATTTCAGAGAATTTTATTTTTATTAAAATTCCAAATACCAATATTATATGTACCTTCCAAGTTGCATTTATGAATCATAATAATAATAGGTAATAATTAATAATAATAATATAATAACTATAATTACTTGTTATATTGCTCATTCTACTCTAAATACATATTTTGTTTTTTTTATTTTATTTTGAAATTCGAGTCACAAAGTTGAATTTTTAAACTCCTATTTATTTCCAAGATACACTATTTTTTTTTATTAATTTGAAACTTTTCATATTAAAATAAATGAAGTGGAATATTAGTACACTATATACTAGTAGTTTAGACAGACATTTATAAAAATTCTAAAAAGCAATAAAAGTAAGCGAAGTTGTTTTCACCTAATTTTTAATTTTTCATTAGATCTTATTATTACTTTTTTGAAAATGATAATACAAAGCCTTCTGGTCTCTCTACTTACATGACTAATAAAAGACCTCAATTAAATATAAAGCTTATTTCTCATGATGCTATTATTCTCTGTTTGCATTATAGTATTGATATTTGCAACTGGTGGACTATACAGAGTAAGAAAGACTTAAAAAAGAAAGTGTATCTTTATTCGATACATGCTGGGTGGCAGACTGTTTTGGAAATAAACAATAAAAACTTTTATACTCAAGTTTTAAAAGGCAATGAAAAACATGAACATTATCCTGACTATAGATGTCAAGTTAAACTAAAATTTAGTAATATTGAAGAGGCATCTAGTTTTGAAATTATATCTTTATACAAACATGTTTGTCAAAATAATAATACAAAATTTTCTGGCCCACAAGTTTTAGGTTAGAATGATTTTTATATGTTAGAACAATCACTAACAGATATTGAATTTTGGTTCTTTTTAATAAAAATTAACAAATATAATATATATATAACTGCTTTAGGATGTTCTAGTATTAGTAATACTGATAAAATCAAGGCTGAAGTTGAATACACAGCAATGCTTACTGGTAAACATTTAGGAAAATGTACAATATATATTCAACAAATTGATCTAGATGAATATCATATAGAAATTTATCAAGATGGTGTTTCTAAATATTATTATACTAGTATAATCCCAAATAAAGTTTGAAAAGCATCTAAAAAACTAAAAAAATTTCGCAGAACTGAACTTTTTGGATTAGAACATCCATTAACACATTAAGTTCTGTTAGCAAAACAGATTCCTAAATGTGATAAAACTTATTGGCATAACAAAAATATTATGAATCATCTTTATAATTATTTCCTTTATTATCACACTATATCTAATATTCAATAGCATAAATTTTTTATTGATTAAAAAAATAGTTCAAGTACAATAATTGAATTTCATAATTCTATAGCATTATTTTATCCTTAGCAATATATTTTTAAAGACTGTGAACTTCGAGCATGAAGAGCACTACTTAAAGCAGCTGGTTGTCATAAAATAATTTTATTCACAAATAATAAATCTAAGATAAATTGAAATTAGATTAATAATACTTATAGCAAATTGTTTTTAATAAAAATATGTGTAATTTTTTCTTATTAAAAAAAAAAAGGTCCAATTTTGAAGCCATTCATTGAATGCATTACAAGACCAATATACACTTGCTTAATTATATTCTCAAGAATTTTTGACATTACTATCAGATAATACGAGTGATCAATTATGAGAATGCTTCAAAAATGCATATAATGCAAACAAAAAGAACAAAATGGATGTACTCGAATTCTATCAATAATTGCAAAAGAGTTTACTTATGCTAAGTTAGAAAAAAAACTTGATATTAGTATACATTATTTTAAAATAAAACATACAAAAAAAAAAATAAAAAATAAAATAAATATATTATGCCAGATTTCTTCAAAGACTGTATTTAGTATCTGATTATATGCTATTACTAATGGTCCTAGTTGCCCTGCACTATACAAGCTAACAATTACTAGAGTACACTTATCAGAAGAATTGCTAAATCAATTTATGACATTTTTACTTGACAAAAATGTTGCAACACCAAGTTTTTATAAAGTTGATGCAGCAATTGGCTTGTCCATAATGTATTTAAAAGATACTAAAGAATCATTATGGCACTAATTTTTTGAATTGCATCCAAATGGAATGAAGCAGGCAGCTTTTATAACTCACTTAGAAAACAGCAGATTTGTTTATTATGATGATCTTGGTGAACTATGCTTGATCTGTAATGAATATAAATTTGGTGTTTTTAAAGATATAATTATACTAGTTTGTAAAAAAATTGAGCAAAAAAATACTCAGGTTCACTATAATAATTTATAAAAAAATATAATTAATGTTAATTTTAAATTTGAATCTAAATATTGTAATTAGAATGAATTAATAGCTTAACTAACAGTAACTTAATGTCATTTGAAATGAGAATATGAAAAAAAATTGATGATAAATATGTTGGAACATGTTCAACATGATGATTATAATGAACATTGTTTAAAATTTGCATTTGGAAACTGGAACAAAGAACATTCAAAACATTGTAATAAATGTAACAAAGTTGATTTAATTTTTCAGCAAATTCTACAAATTCTTTCTAATGAAAAAGAAAAAATAATTAAGAATTATGCCAAATTACAATATTACTGGGCTCACCAAGCTAGAAAAACTTATCTTAATGCATAGTTTAATGCAGCATTATTCTGTTTAGATAAAAATAGTGCTGTTATTATAGCTGACTATAAAATAAAAATTTTACCTCAGTCAGCACAAGAAGTAAAATCAGATTTTTTTTTTAAAAAAAGATATACATTATATACATTACTGGTATATACAAAAAAAACTAATAATTTTACCTTATTAAATGTTTAAGTTTTGGACCATTGGTTAGCTGATCCAATACAAGATGTGTGGTTTACTGTGTTTTCTTTTGATGCCTTGTTTTCTACAATGAAGAAAAAACCTTCCTGGATAGAAATTCTTTCGGATAATGGCCTACACTATCATAACAAAGAACTAATGATAATAATTAATCAATGGTTCAAATAGTATGATATAGAAATAAAATCATAGATTTTTTTAGAACCTGGTAAAGCAAAAACTACAGTGGATTCCTATTATGCACAGGTAATATTTAGTTACAGAAATTTTTAGAAAAGTAATTACTATGATATATGATCCCATAGGATCACTTAGCAATTATTTTTCTAAAAAAATAATTTGTTATCAGTTACTTATAATAACTAAAACACCAAAATAACTCATATGTTTTAGTTTGATTGTTATTTGTTAGATAAAGTTATTTGAGAGAGATATAATTACTACAAAATAATAAGCTTGATTATAGTAAATGCTAAATTATTCACTATTTTTATAAACTTCTATTCAATAAATTTAAAATAATTAGATTGCACACTCTATAAAATACTATGTTCATCTTAGATATAATATTCAAAATAGAAATGATATAATAGATGCAATCAGAGATATAAAAGAAACATTTGTTGCAAATATTAACCCTAGTGAATAATCAAAAAAAGCAAAAAAAATAATATCTACCTTGAAAGGCATTACAAATTGGTTGCATTTTGTTTAGCCAACAAGTAGTGAATTATCTAGTTATATTTGTGTATGCTTTTTATCTAATTTTGGTTCTTAAAATACCTTTTTCTCTATTGATATTAAAAAAACTATGAACGATCAAGTGTTTACAAAACCAAGTCCAAAGATTTCAGATTGTACTAAACCAAGTTCTGAATAGACTATTCCATTGCCCAGTAACAAAAATATATAAAACTAATATTTATATTTATTTTGCATATTTCTAAACTCACTTTCCCACTTTTAGTATCAGATCCAAACAGATGATCCAAAACAAATGTCAAAACAGAATTAAAAAAATGAAAAATTGGTTATAAAGATAAAGAGAATAAATGTGAATTAGTAGCTGCATTGTGAAAAATATTGGAGAAAAAATACAAAAAAAAGTAAAAGGTATATATGATAATGTTTATCTTTCAATTATTCTTATTACTAACAAAACAGTATATAGAAATTCAATTGCAAGAATCAGATAATATCTTATCAAATAATATTCTGTTTGATTTAATAAATATACCTGTATCAAAATCAAAAAAGCATTGAGTAATGCATTCAAAAGATAACTTAGAAAAAATTGAGCTAAAGTAAATAAATATTATTTATACTTAGCTAAATATGTATCAAATACCAATAATTTATTATTTTTCTAAACCAAGTTATTTTGATTTAGGGTAAGCACTTCAAGAATGTCAAGAATATGGTAAACATGATAATGGAAAACATATAACTAAATGAGTCAAACAATTTCTTAAAACCTACTTTTTGTCAAGTGATATGGACAAAAAAAATTGATTTACTGCTTCTACAATACTTAAAGAATTGCAAAAAAAAGTAGAAACAAGTAAGCTAGAAGCAGACAAAATACCAAAAATAAAAACAATAGGAAATTGGATAATATAATACAACCAAGAGCATAAAAAGGAATCAGCAATAAAAGAATTATATATTCCAATAGAAAGTAAATAGCGTAAATATAATATTTGTATATATAACCCACTGTATCTCTCTATTTCAAAGCATCTCTCTATTGAAATTTTTGCTCAATAAAAATTTTTTATATGAAAAATCATATATTTGGATACTTACTTGAATTTGTTAGCAGAACATATTGAACTTGGGTATTATATTTTATGGCATATAGTAGTATTTTCATTCTTTTGCATAAATATAAGTATGTTAAACTATATTACCTATTTGAGTATTTTTATATCCATAATCTTGAACAATTTTGTAATAATGTGAAAGCAGACAAAAAAAAGGATTTGGTGGCTTAGCAAAAAAGATTTGTATAACATTTATCATCTATTATATATACTATTTCTGTGGTTATACAAGCTAAACATAATATTATTAAAGTGATACAAAGGTGAATTGGATGAATTTTTACTATGATTAATATAATATACATATCACCAATTATTAATAAAATTCTTTCCTTTACTTACGAATTAAGCATTTTTTAGTAATATTTTAGCATCTACTGAACTGATTTAAATAATTTAACCATTATTAGATGTGTTTCAATAAGTTTTATCACTTTTAATTAATCAAGTTGTTAATAAAAAAAATTACTTATAATTGAACTTTGTTCAAATTTTAGCATATAATTAATATGTATTATAGAAATTTTGTTCTAAATTCTAATATAAAAATAATGCTAATCTTATTCAGATTAGCAATTAATTATAGTCAAAAAATATATCAAATTAGGAAATCAAGTTCTAAAATGATCTATACATGAATTTTTAAATTTGATTGGCTTTTATGTACTTTTTACTTCCTCAAACATTATACATTGTGAAAAAAAATTTTTTGATAATTATTAGTATTCAAATAAGTTTTAAACATATAGTTTAAAACTTCTAGTTTTATTAATTCACAATAATCTACTGTAATAAGCTCTTTTAGTTAAAGTAAATAAGACATTAAAAACAGATATTTACTTTAAATAAGAAGTTAAGAATTGTTATCAGTTAACTTAAGATGACTTTGAAATATTTTTATTATCTTTAGATTTAAAAGTTTATTAATAATAATTTTTATGTGGGTGTGGGTCCCATAGCTTAGTGGTTAAGCTCTCATGCTCTCACAGTCAAGGTCAACAGTTCAAGTCTGGCTGGAGGCAAAACTAAAAGATTTTAGATTCTGTAACCCAATAAAAAGCCAGTAATTGAATGTGAAGCCCTGTGGTTAAGTCCAAGTGCAGTACATGACCGAAGTAGGAATTCCTGGAAGGAGACCCAATTATGGAATGCAGGCACTATGCATAACAAGCAGTTGTTACAGAAGGTTATAGTTATGGAAAGATTGCACATGTAAGTCCTTTAGGCTAGGGCAGCACCAACATCCCTACACCTCCTAATTAGGCAGT